GAATATCAGGGCAATAATATTCCAAAAGCAGTCTACCAAGTCACACAAGCACAAAAAGAATCAATATTACAATGGCTTGTGTCTCTGAAGTTTCCAGATTGCTACTGCTTCAACTTGTCCAGATGCGTGGACATGGACAAACTTGCAACGACGTCGAGCATGAAAACTCACGATTGTCATGTAATCATGCAAAGACTTCTCCCAATTGCACTGAAAGAGATGCTTTCTGAACACGTATGGTCCTGCATAACTGAGATCAGTTTGTTGTTTCAGTCGATATGCTCGAGCGTTTTGGATGCAACATCCCTCCGTAGACTAGAAGAGTCTGTTCCCATGCTGATGTGTAATTTGGAAAAGATAATGCCTCCATCATTTTTCGATGGAATGGAACATCTTGTAATACATCTTCCGTATGAGGTTTTAAATGGTGGACCCGTCTTCTATCGCTGGATGTACAGATTTGAAAGGTTAGTCACAATTTCATTTATCTTTGAATATTTATTTCATAACAACATTAATCTGTGTACCACTTTTATTTTACTTTGCAGATTTTTTGGAGAGTTGAAAAAGAAAGTGACCAACAAGGCACACGTTGAGGCTTCAATTTGTCAAGCATATCTTCAACAAGAAATCTCAACGTTCTCATCTTTTTATTTTGAGCGTGAAGTCATCACTAGAAGAAAGAGACCTGGCCGAAACGATGACATTGGCGAGGATTTATATGAAAATGTAGTTTCCATTTTCAATTAACCAGGTAGAGGTAAAGGAGCTTGGACAAACCGATACATCGTGGGAAAAGAATTACAAATTGCGCATACTTATATGCTCATTAATTGTCCAGAAATCTTACCGTTTTATTAGTAAGTTAAATTTGTAGTTATCTTTGTAATATATAATACAATTAAGGTAGTTGATTTATAATATTTTCATGTTTGACTTCACAGTGAATTTAGAAAACTGTTTATAAAAAACTGTTTATAAAAAACTGCTTTTATATAAAATGTTTTTTATAAATTTAAATACGAAAACCTATTTAAGATTTCAACCAAAATTCGATCTTCTATTATATTTACACTATTATTTGAAAATGTAAATTAATACTACTCATTAATCAATTATTTTAGATGAGCAATGAACAATCGACCTCTCGTGCTCGCCCGAATGGGTGACACCTCACATGGTTGCTAAGTAACTATGAACTTTATCTAATGTCAAATAATTTTATCTAATGTCAAATAATCTAACCAAATGGATATAAAAAATATCATTAATTTTTTCAAGCGATAAAGATGTGCTCAACCAAATCAAAATCATAATTGGTAGACACTTTCTTGACAACTGGGCTACGTACACGGATGTTGACCCCAAGGTCCGTGAACTTTGGTGGAACTTGTTCAAGGTAAAAAAATGAATTTTTCGTTATTGATGTAACCTAATATTTGACAAATGATAAGTTAATTTATTTTTTTAATAAAGGCGCGATTTCGCTGGACTGAAGAACAAGGTCCGCTATTCTAAGGGCGTACAATGCCAGAGTTTCAAACTGGCTTCGTTCCACTTTTAAGCGTGCCCGAGCCAGTGGGGTAAGGCCTCAATGGTGTTCGGATTAGGTATGGGAAAACCTCGTCCGCCACTGGTCTTCGGATCCGACTTTCTTGGCTGGAAGTGAAGCCGGGAAGAAAAATCGAATGTCCGAGAAGGCATTGACGACACAATGGCACGGAGGCCGCAAACCTCAGAGTAAACATAAACAAAGCTCTTGTAAGCCTTATTCAAATAAACCTTACACGATTTTAACCCTTTATTTTTTTACATTTATTTAAACCTTTTTCGAACCTTGTAGGCGGGGCCTCAAAAGAAGATGATCTCTATCCTCAAGGTCATCAAACACTGTTGGACGAAGAACGGTGATGAGTCGGAAGCCAATCTACCACCCGCCTTGCTGAAATCGAAGTATGTAACATCAATATTATTATTTCAAATCGAAGTAAATATCATTTGAATAATTTTTTTAAATGTTTGTAGACAAAGTATAACGCAAATGTTGAAAAGAAGCGGGCGGAACTAGGCTTGACTCAAGAAGATGACATCGATTCTGATGTGGAAGATGATGCGATCCTTGAGCTTCCGTGCCTCGGGGCTGAGGGCCAACGTATTTTGTACGATCGCAGCGGCAACGGAGCTTCATCATCTTCTCAATCTAGGCGAAGAGAGGATCCACGCATTGCCAAATTGCAGCGAGAATTGGAGGAGCATCAAAGGGCATTTGAACAGCAACGGAAGAATGATGAAGAAACAAGGGCCCGGCTGGAAGCAATGGAACGGATCCTTGCCGAATATCAGCCTCCGTCTCAGCCTCTTCCTCGGCCGTACATGTTGGACGTTGAGCAGACTCCTCAGGTTCCGCACATGGGTAATATGGGTTACCACTCTAACTCCGGTTATGGTGCCATGCCTGCAATAGGGTCGACATTCGGATCTCTATCGTCTGATATGCTCGATCAGTTTCAATCATCCAGTGGAGGCAACCGAGGAGGCAGCCGAGGAAGAAACCGAGGAGGCAACCGAGGAGACAACCTAGGCAGCCGAGGAGGTACCCGACCCTTGGACATCGTGGATGCAGAAGAGGATCATCATCGTGACTATGATGATAATGATGACGCATATGATTACGATGATTCTAATTTTTATCATAATGGAGTCCGACGTACGGGCATTTAATTACATAATATTGTTTAACATTGTATGGATTTTGTTTTTATAATTCAGTCTCTAATGACATTTTTTATGTTTAAGATTGTATGGAATTTATTTTTATTCTAATTGCTTTAAAGTAAAATTAAAATAATTTTTTATTTTTTATTTAAAATTGATTTTTTTTAAATCAAAAACATTAGTCACGGACTAAATCCGTGACTACGTTTTAATCCGGAATAAATTCAATTTTCATTTTTTTATTTTTTTTATTTAAAATCGATTTTTTAAAAAAAAAACAAAAAACATTAGTCACGGAGCAGATCCGTGACTACGTTTTAATCCGGAATAAATTCAATTTTTTTTTAAATTAAACATAGTCACGGATACATGTCCGTGACTAATTGCGGGCTTTTTTAAAAACGTTAGTCACGGACACGTTCGTGACTACCACAAAAAATAAAAAAATAAATAAATTAAACTTAGTCACGGCTCTTGTCCGTGACTAACATAAAACAAATTAAATTAAAAGTAGTCACGGATCTGGTCCGTGACTAACGTGCCGGAGGGCTAATTCCGGTCAAGATGTAGTCACGGATCGAGTTCCGTGACTAATCCGTGACTACACTTAGTCACAGCCAATGTTCCGTGACTACGTTCTAGTCACACGGAATTAGTCACGGAACTAGTCACGGACAAAATCCGTGACTAAATGTATTAGTCACGGATTTTTTACACTACGGTCTGTGACTAAGTCCGTGACTACAGGCAAATTTTTTGGTAGTGTATTGGTTTTGAGAAGTGGACCCGCTGTTACAGTAGGCGCACTAGGTACTCTGTGATGACATCCAACAATGCTGAGTCACTGAATTCTGTAGACCGTATCCCTCGGGAGTATCCTATAGCAAAGTTGATTGATTTCTTGCGAGGCAAGATGCAGAAATTGTTTTGTGAGCATCGAGAAAATGTTGAAAAAAATAAAACTATTCTTTTTGAATATTTCTAAATGGCTAACGGAAAAATTTCCGAGTTCTGGGGCGGAGATAGTTTTTTTGGGAATAGGTGAAAGATGGAACGTGGATGGGCCGGTTGTCTGCGACTTTTAATTGAGGTTATTTTTGTCAATCCATGCTAATTTAAGTCTTAGGAGTTTCGGTTGTCCTATTTTTGGAAATTGGGGGACTTTAGGTCCTAATTGTAAAATTTTCCCCACAATTTTAGGGCCAACCATTAGATGATGAATTGTGCCTCTCAAGTCATATATATTTCATTTTGCAACTAATCACAAGAAAAGTGGAGCATCAATGAACATCTCAGAAAGATCACCGTCATCATTAGTTTTATCATCACCATTAATTTCAATGACAGTACTACTTCCTTTCGTACTTAAACGTGTTTAGCTGATTAATATGGTCAAAAGGTTAATTAATAGAGAACATTCCCTTAATAAGACATATTCCCTCCTATTTTGAGAAAGTTTAATCAAATTATTCTTTTAATAGGACCAAATAAGTCGTTCATATATGCCTATATAATTTAAAAGTTGAATGAGTTGGTGATTGAAGATCTAAGAATTTGAAGGAATTATGTTGATACGTATTATGAAATGGGAAAAAACTATTAAAGAATTAAAAAAACTAAAAAGAATTTGATAGATTAAGATATACTATCGTATTAAGCACAATTGAGTTATTTGCGGTGGCGGACCCAGAAAGTCAGAGTCACGGTGTCCCTCACTACAAAAAATTCGCCTGTAGTCACGGACCGTAGTGTAAAAAATCTGTGACTAATACTTTTAGTCACGGATTTTGTCCGTGACTAGTTCCGTGACTAATTCCACGTGACTAGAATGTAGTCACTAAACTTTGATCATGACTAAGTGTAGTCACGGACCGAGTCCGTGACTAATTCTTGACCGGAAATAGCCCTCCGGCGCGTTAGTCACGGACCAGATCCATGACTACTTTTAATTTAAATTTTTTATGTTAGTCACGGACCATGTGACTAAGTTTAATTTAATTTTTTTTATTTTTTATAATAGTCACGGACGTGTCCGTGACTAATGTTTTTTAAAAAGCTCGCGATTTAAATTTTCAAAATTTGTTTTAGTCACAGACATGTATCCGTGACTATGTTTTGAAAAAAAAAATTGAATTTAGAAAAGAGTTCCAGATTAAAATATAGTCATGGATTTAGTCCGTGACTAATGTTTTTGGTTTTTTTTTTAAAATCGATTTTAAAGAAAATAAAAAATTATTTTAGTTTTACTTTAAAACAATTAGAAAAAAAAAACAAAATCCATACAATGTTAAACATAAAAAATGTTATTAGAGACTGAATTATAAAAACAAAATTCATACAATGTTAAACAATATTACATGCCCGCACGTCGGACTCCATTATGATAAAAATTAGAATCATCATAATCATATGCATCATCATTATCATCATAATCACGATGATGATCCTCTTCAGCATCCACGGTGTCTAAGGGTCGGGTACCTCCTCGACTGTCTCGACTGCCTCCTCGGTTGCCTCCTCGGTTGCTTCCTCGGTTGCTTCCTCGGTTGCCTCCACCGGATGATTGAAACTGATTGAGAATATCAGACGACAGAGATCCAAATGTCGAACCCATTGCAGGCATGGCACCATATTCGGAGTTAGAGTGATAACCCATATGACTCATGTGCGGAACCTGAGGAGTCTGCTCAACATCCAACATGTATGGCCGAGGAAGAGGCTGAGGCGAAGGCTGATATCCGACAACGATCCGTTCCATTGCTTCCAACCGGGCCCTTGTTTCTTCATCATCCTTCCGTTGCTGTTCAAATGCCCGCTGCAGCTCCTCCAATTCTCGCTGCAATTGGGCGATGCGTGGATCCTCTCCCCGCCTAGATCGAGAAGATGATGAAGCTCCGCTGCCACTGCGATCGTACAAAATACGTTGCCCCTCAGCCCCGAGGCACGGAAGCCGACCCTTGTACACCCCAGCTGCCTCAAGGATCGCATCATCTTCCACATCAGAATCGATGTCATCTTCCTGCGTTAAGCCTAGTTCCGCCCGCTTCTTCTCAACATTTGCGTTATACTTCGTCTACAAGCATGTACAAAAATTATTGAAATGATATTTACTTCGATTTGAAATAATAAAATTGATGTTACGTACTTCGATTTTAGCAATGCGGGGTGGCAGATCGGCTTCCGACTCATCACCGTGCGGAGTCCAACAATGTTTGATGACCTTGAGGATAGAAACCCTCTTCTTTTGAGGCCCCGCCTACAAGGTTCGAAAAAGGTTTAAATAAATGTAAAAAAATAAAGGGGTAAAATGGTGTAAGGTTTATTTGAATAAAACTTACAAGAGCTTCTTTAAGTTTACGATGAGGTTAGCGGCCTCCGTGCCATTGTGTCGTCAATGCCTTCTCGAACATCCGATTTTTCTTCCCGGCTTCGCTTCTAGCCAAGAAAGTCGGATCCGAAGACCAGTGGCGGACGAGGTTTTCCCATACCTCATCTGAACACCATTGAGACCTTACCCCACTGGCTCGAGCACGCTTAAAAGTGGGACGAAGCCCGTTTAAAACTCTGGCATTGTACGCCCTTAGAATAGCGGGCCCTTAGAATAGCGGGTCTTGTTCTTCAGTCCAGCAAAACCAGGCCTTTATTAAAAAAATAAATTAATTTATCATTTGTCAAATTTTAGGTTACAACAATAACGGAAAATTCATTTTTTTACCTTGAACAGGTTCTACCAAAGTTCACGGACCTTGGGGTCAACATCCGTGTACGTAGCCCAGTTGCCAAGAAAGTGTCCACCAATTATGATTTTGATTTGGTTCAGCACTTCTTGATCGCTTCAAAAAATTAATGATATTTTTTTATATCCGTTTGGTTAGATTATTTGACATTAGATAAAATTATTTGTTATTAGATAAAGTTCATGGTTACTTACTTAGCAACCATGTGAGTTGTCACCCATTCCGAATCTTCATTGTTGCGCTCGGCTTGGGTTAAAGGCGCATAGTTTGGGCGAGCACGGGAGGTTGATTGTTCATTGCTCATCTAAAATAATTGATTAATGAGGAGTATTAATTTACATTTTCAAATAATAGTGTAAATATAATAGAAGATCAAATTTTGGTTGAAATCTTAAATAAGTTTTCGTATTTAAATTTTATAAAAAACATTTTATATAAAAGCAGTTTTTTATAAAAGCAATTTTATAAACAGTTTTTTGTAAACAATTTTTTGTAAACAATTTTTTTATAAACAGTTTTTTATAAACAGTTTTTTATAAACAGTTTTTTATAAACAGTTTTTTATAAACAGTTGTGTAAAAACAGTTGTGTAAAAACAGTTTTGTGTAAAAACAGTTTTGTGTAAAAACAGTTTTGTGTAAAAACAATTTTGTGTAAAAACAGTTGTGTAAAAACAGTTTTGTGTAAAAACAGTTTTGTGTAAAAACAGTTTTTTGGTAGAAACAATTTTTTGGTATAAAAACAGTTTTATATAAAAAGATTTTTTTTTATCGTTTAACTCAATATGAGGGGGTATTTTTATAATTAATATTCTATATTTTTGGAAGTTTGACATGAGGAGGAATTTTCTTTAATTAATTCAGAAGAACTTTTCAATTAAAACAGTTAAAACAGTTTATTTATTAAACATTGTCTTTTTATAGTCTATATTTTATATTAAATTTAAGAAGTGTTTTTAATGTATAACTCAATATTTTATAATTATTAACATGTTAAACTTTTTTGGAAGTTTGACATGAGGAGGTATTTTTTTAATTACTTCGGAAAAACTTTTCAATTAAAACAATTTATTTATTAAACAGTGTTTTTTCATAGTCTATATTTTATATTAAATTTGAGAAAACTGTTTTTAACATGAGAGGGTATTTCTTTAATTAATTTGAGAATATAATGTAATTAGGCATACATATTAATTAAACTAACTCATGTTCTTTAATTCATAAGTCCGAAATTAAAAAAAAAAATGTTTAATCATGCATGTTCTTTAACCTACAATTAAATCTTATTTAGGCATATATATTAATTAAACTTATACACAACAAATATAGGCATGCCAATTAAACACATATACAAACTAAATCATGTTATATTAAGCATATAGAACATGTAATAAACTGAATTATATTAACATGTATTTCGAAAAAACGTGTGCTTAATAACATGTATACAAAAATGAATTTGATAACATGTACAGAAAACAAGTATTTCGAAAACTGAATTATATTAACATGTATTTCAATTCTAAAATTAAAGCAATATTATAAACTAAATGAAATTATATTTCGAAATCATATTACTACACATGAATCAATTTGAGATATTAACTAAAATCAAATTATAACATGTACTGAAATCAAATTACATATACATAAATCAATTTGAGCATATTAACTAAATCATATTACACAATTTGAGAATAATGGAAACACACTTAACGTAACATGCATTTTTGAAATAAAAATCAAATACTAAAAATAAGAATTAAAAGTAAATAAAATTTAGAATACATAACCTTTATTTGTGTAGTTCATACAAATAAAAGAGAAGTCTTCTACAGTTCTACTTTAGACATATACTACGTATGGAGTATTTAATAGAATTTGAATTAGGAGATTAGCATAAATTAAATATGTAGCATTTTCGTAATTTTTATCAAATTCCTTGATTATTGTGGTAATGATGACAATAATAATTATTTAACTACAGTTCTATTCGATAACAAACACCTGGTACTGGATTAATCAGACTTTGACAAAATAATTGATTGAATAAAATGGTTCTTATAAGAAAAAAAATAAAAAACTGTCCATCAATAATCATAAACCACATCAAGTGTTAGATCATGTAAATAAATGAAATTCTCAAAAGAAAATCAATAAATTGAAGAACATACCTTGTAAGTATATTATACAAAGAAATCGTGGCGCCAGGACAACAGAGGTTTTCACGAAATCATCAAGCTTAATAGCATTTTTGAAGTTGAAAAATAATGTACCGCAATTCATCTGGCTTTGGCTCCTGTCTATGCGGCTTTCGGAGAGCTAATAAGGTGAGATTTAGGTATTTATAAGGTGAGATATAGGGCATCACACATGTTCATGTGAAATGACTAATTTGCTCCTATGTGATGATGTTTTAATCACGTCTAATGCCACAGCATGTCTGCCTGTCTGTCCAGACATCAAATCCTATCCGTACAAAATCTTCTCCTATTTTTAAGAATTTTTTGTAGTTTGTCCAATTGGGCAAGTATTTTTTCAATGACATTTACACAGAATTTCATAAATAGAAGTAAAAGAGTTTTGGAATTTCAAAATAGAATTATCATGTTTTTTATTCTTTGAATAGAAGTAAATTTTTGTCTAAGTTTGAAATTGCTAGACTTTCAATATGACATTTTTCCAAATTTGGCAGAATTACTTGTATTTAGAGAATAAAAACAAGAAAGTCCTATTTTGGAATTTGAAAACATTTTTACTTATATTTAGAATAATTTCTATTGGATTTATATATGAAGGCACTTTCAAATACTCCACTATCTAGATTGAATCGTTTCCATAAGAATTCATTGAAATGGTTAAATTTACACTGGGAAAATATACATGCTTTACTCTTTTTGTATTGGCCAATATTGAGAAAGCGGTCCAACCCGGCTGGTGGCCGACTCACCCTCCCTTACGGGAGGTATCGAGTTCGAAACTCAATGGAGTGAGTTTCAGCCCTGATTACTCCAGCCCCCAGACCCCCTGCCCCAGACGCCCCTTGAGTAAAAAAAAAGTATTGGCCAATATTTTGGCCACTTAGAGTTCCATGTAAGATTTTTAATGAGTAAGTATTTTTCAATTGTATAAAGAAAAAATAGGGTCAAATACATAAATGGTATATTAACTATATATTGACTATGTTACACGGAAATGCGAAAATCATGAGGAAATGGGAAGCGTCACTTTTGTTCAAAAAACGCTTGTTTTGAGAGTTTCCAAGAAGTTTTCGTAGAGTTTCCGAAACGGAAACGTACTCTTTCCCGAGAGTTTCTATGCTACATAGACTATTGGTAATGTTGCATTTTGGTACATTAACTCTTAAATGAAACAAAATAGTACCTTAACCATACATAAATGTTTCAATTTGAGATTTTATTCAAATTTTCAACCTAAAAATCCTTCATGACGATCAGAATTTCATGTGTAGATTCACCCTATAGTGATCATATGGATAAAACTAAGGTGAAGTAGACTTTACGCATAGAATTCTAGCCACCACGCATGATTTTTTGTTTGAAAATTTGAATAAAATCTCAATTCAAAACATTTATGTATAATTAAGGTACCATTTTGATTCATTTAAGAGTTAATAAGTTACCAAAATGCAACATTATCAATAATTAAAGTACCATTTATGCATTTGACCCGAAAAGATATTATGCTACACGATATTTTCTTAATGTTGTTTTTTAATGAGGCACATTCAATAGTTAGTATTTGTATATATATGACTCTCCTCAGCCCAGGTGTAACTCGTACCCCACTCTCTTGTGTGCGTACACACTATATGTGAATGACAATCTAAAATTTTGATATATTATATACTCCTGATAAGTATTTCTTCCGTCTCATTCTGAACTTCTAACTTTCCTTTTCTGGATGCCTCATATTAGGGTTGGATTCGGTTCGGGGCACCCGGCCCGTGACCCGGCCCGGCCCGGTACTGTGCGGGCCCGGGACCGGCCCGGTCGGGCGGTCCGGGACCGGGTATGGGCCAGAACCGGTGGGAAGATGCGGGGCGGGCTCGGTTCTGGATTATTGTGACCCGGCCCGGCCGGGTCAGGCCCGGGCCCGGGTCCGGGTCTATTTTTTTAAAAAAAAAATTGGTTGGTTGGGCTACTAGCCGTTGGGGGTGGGGCTGGGGACAACCCAAACGGCTATATAGCCGTTGGGTGGGGTAAAGGGGGGGTCCGGGGGGTTGGCTGGTGGGGGGGGGTGGGGGTGGGGGGTAAAAAAACCTATAAGTACTCCTAATCTTAAACATTTTTTCATCTCTTCTCCAATTCTTCCTAAATCCTATTCTTAACTCTCTACTCTCTAATTCTCTTATTCTCCAATATATTATATTTATTATTTATATATCTACTTTATAGTTTATACTTAAGAAGTTAAGATGGAAAATCAAGATGCCATTATACGGTATAATTTTGATAAGCAGAAGGACCCGAAGACCGGGATGTGGTACGCAATTTGCAAATGGTGCGAGAAAAAATGTAGCATGGGGCTTCAGGCGGATTCGGGATGGCAATCAAGCATATGAAGTCATGTGACAAAGCCAAAGGATCGGGAGGTGCGGGAAGTTCCGATTGATTACAATTTTCAAAATGTTTATCTCTTAAAGTTTGTTTTAATTTTCAAATGTAGTTCCTATTTCATTTCAAATAAATGCAATTGAAGTTTGTTTTTAATACTCGTATAAAACTATAAACTATAAAATATAAATTATAAAAAAAAATTAACCGGCCCGACCCGTGACCCGGGCGAGTGGTCCGGCCCGAACCGGACCCGTCCAACCCTCGGGCCGATCCCGGGCCCACTATTCTTGAACCGGTGGCCCGACCGGGCCTAGGCCCGGCCCGAATCCATCCCTACCTCATATAATAGTTCACATTTCTATTTTAAAAAAATTAACACTTTTTTTGGAAGAAATAATTAACACTCTTAAATGACAATTTAATCGTGAAATATTAAAAATAATACATTTATAACATCACAATTATCATCAGTAATCTCATTATATTATAAGCTCATCGAAGTTATTTCTCAAAATATACTCAATTGTAATGAGAACTTTTAAGTGGGAAAGATGTAGTATTTATTAGATTATACCCCTCCGTCCTAAATTGTTTTGCAAAGTCAACATTTTTTGGTCAACCAATAAAAAAAAGTCAATGCTCCCTATCGGTAATTAATTCAATTTTTAATAATTAAAATTTATATATTCAGAAACTACATTAAAATCTCTTCAAAGTTGCAAACTCCAAATTTAAAAATTGACATCCTAATTAAACAAATAAAATGAAACTGGTTAACCAAAATAAGTCAAATTTGCAAATCAATTTGGACGGAGGTATGACACCTTAAACTATGGAAACCTAAGGCTACCTATCACGGCTATCAGACGTGAATGTGCCCTTTCAAATGAAATACATATAAATGTCTGGGTTTCCGTAGGTCTTATATAATAATGAACAACACATTCTACATTTTGTGAATTATGTCTAAGAAACTTGCATTTAAAACTAGTATGTCGTTTATCGGTCCAATACTCCAACCTAACATGAGAGGTTTACCTGAGACAGCGATCCCGATCAACTAGTTGCCGACTCAGTCTTAGAAGGTGTCAGGTTCGAAACTATTTGGACGGAGTATCAGCCATTCAGCCCTATTTACTCCGAGCTCCCCGGCCCCTTCTCCCGACTCCCGACCCCAAGGTTAAAAAAGAAAAAAAGAATTTTCTTTAATATCCAGGTCCCTCTAAATAGTCTTTAGGGACCTATGGAAACTCTAGTACTCCCTCCGGTCCTATGACATAGGTCCATTGCAGATGTCAAACAAATAACAGTCTTTTGCGCTGTTTTAAAATGCAACTTTCCACAAAACAATTTGCAGTCTGCTACTCCTTAATCACTGATGCCTACTCTTTTCCATTCTTAATCTTAACCCTCATCTTTCTGCCATGCTTAGTTGCTGAAAACTCATTGACCAACTTTCTTTTCATTGAGTAGTCTAAGTTTATAACAACAGCTTTTTTTTGGTGATTTCTGTGGGTTCTCTTCCTCTACTTCTTCACTGACAATGGTCTGAAACAATTTTGACATGTAGTGTTAGCCTGTTAGGTTTAATGCGTTTAATTAACATATCGATTACAAAATTAAACAAAACAAAACTGTAAAGTACCTTATCCTTCCCTGTTCCTCCAAGTTCCTTGTTAGTTGCACTCAGCTCAGCATCGTTCACAGAACCCACTGAAAAAATAACACAACACATTTAATACATTTAATACATTTAAGTTTAAATATTTTAAAAGCCCAATCTCCTAGAAGTAGGTTACCATTTCCTTATCCTCTAGAATCTAGATCATCAACTTCTGCGGTCTTAACCTCTTTTGTCTTGTACATTGCGAAAATAGTTGGATCCCTGAACATTGACAGCACCCCAAACTATTGCCTTGGTAAGAACTTCCTTCTGGTTTCTTCTTCACTTGGACCTTAAACAAACCTTTTTTATCTACGACTGCCTCAATCTCTTCAGGAAAGTGGCTAGGGTCTCCTGTTTTCTGATTTTTTTTCCCTAAAAACAATTATCTATGTTCAGTACTCAGGAATCATAGTTAAGATATAATGTTGAAGTGCAATATTGTTGTATTCTTTGTAGAAACAAACCTGTACCACCTCCCTTCTCAACCTAGGTGCTGATTTCCCGAGTATGTCTATACACTCTCGGTCCCAAAGGGTGAATGAAGCGTGACCTATATCATCCATCACACACAAGCTGACCTTGTATCTGAATCATGAACAAACAGAAAAACATTAAGCGGTGACCAAAATTATCTCAATACAAAAAAAAATTGTAAATCACATAAACGTTGCACTTCACCTTAACACCCCTTCAGCCAAACTTATGTTGCATGCTGCACATCGGAACCTATTTTCTTCAGGAACCACGTTCTTGTTACACGAAGTGCAACCTAAGTAGCATCATTCACGGAAGCTGTCAATAGAAACAATATCTGCTAGAACCCAGTAGATTCCTACCTGAAAAAATTTGGAATGGTTATTGGTTAGGTAGTAGTTCAAACTGAAATTGATAAAGAACATTAAACCGTTTAGGAACGAAGTTATAATGTTAGTACCTCAGTTTTTTCCAGCAAGTTGCTAACAGAGGTCAGTGATACATTTCCACCCAAAATGTCATCATGACCATAGCTTTGTGACTGTATACCCAGGAACGTTAAAGTTCCGGTTTCCTCGTTTATGATCAGTTTTGTCACGTTAAATGTGTAGACACGGATACATTTCCTACATAAGTGTAAATTGTTAGGTATGATGTATCCTTTGGTTAAAAATGCTATTGAAAAATATAGTTAGATTAGAACCTTTGTAGAGCTTTGCCTGGCACAGCTGCACAATGATAAAGATGGCTTCGTTCTCAGCATTGTCCACATAGTCATTAAACTGTTTGATGTAGTTGTTCCAAAGTGTACAACCAATCCTGTTTCTGTTGAAAAAATAAGTTTGATAATTAGAACTAAACGATATATACATATATATATATATATATATATATATATATATATCTACGAACACGGAGTCATCTAATGATGCAAACAAACTCTTACTCAGAGTCCTCTAACGTATGTTCCATTAACCTCTCCGTTCGGTTGTTAATCACATGGCTCTGCGGTGCACAACGACCAACCTCTTTACCGATTACATCTATGTCAAAAAATAAAACTATTGTATGCCGTCCGCCCTCTGTTGCTGCCATCATCAGGAGACATGTTGCCGCCGTTCAAAGGCCGTTTTTCAGGGCACGACGCCCCCAGATGGAACACCGCTTATTCCGGAATCCGGATAGGCAATGCTTACAGATGGCCGACTGAAATTACAGCCTTACAAGCATTCCCAGAGACCAGAGTGACCAGACCGTGTGCTACTACTATGGGACGGTTGATGCAATGAATGCCTCCCTTAGGATAGAATGTGCTCGTGCAGGCCGTCTCTGAACACCAAAACTGTTCATTCAATTTGTGCTCGACAACTATGTGCACCAGGACGGGGACTTCTTCAATGATTTTCTCATTTCCTCTGGGGTCTTGTTGCCTCACATATACCCCACAGAGATGGGGTCCCTGGACCGCCCTGATTTGTGCTAGGTAAGCTATATAGACTTGAAAGATACATTGAACTAATTAACAAAAGACACTGGATCTGAAGCCACTGAAGGGAACGTTAAGAAGATTCTCTTATCACACAGCCCATTAGCAGTTGGTTGTGACGCTACTCGCTCACTTGTTTCCTCATTTGACACCCCAGGAACTGTGTACAAAGGGGAGGCCGGGGGGCAAAGATACGGGTGGACAATGATGAGATTATAGGACATGCAGTTGTCCTCATAGGCTATGGTGTGAAGGAAGAAAACAAAAGATCTTCAAAGGGAAAGTTGAAGAAGAAATGGGAGACATATTTCATCTATCAGTCTTCGTGGGGCTCCACGCACTCTAGGGAACTTTTGGCACGAATTTGTGTTGATAAATATTTTGTATCAAGCGTTGCTCCACCCCTGCTCCGGTGGTACCCCCTACAAAGCCCAAAAAATATGAGTATTAATGAACAGAATGTAACGAGAATAGGAGAAGGAGAATCAGTTTATTATTAAGTATTCTTAAGACTGAATGTTACACCTTACAATGTACTTATAGAAGAAGAATATACTGCTAACTACTAACTAACACACGTGAGGCTGCTAACAATATGTAGTTGTTAGGTGGAGTGGTTACATCAAGCTCATTGTGATTTATTTTCAAATTCAATCACATTGAGTTTGTTTTTCAACTCCTTTATTCTTAGGAAATCTTAATTAGTAGGATCCTTCCTTATTTTTCAATCTACTTCTGTAGTTCCATAAATTCTGTAACCTTCTCCTCCTGTGAGACAGAACAAATAAAATACAGAGACAAATTTCTCTATTTCTTTCAATTTACATATTGATTAGCACAAGCACGAGAAGTAATCTCTTAGCAAATTCCAACAAAAAAGCTGAATCTAGGGAGTATTTTTCTAAAATATCTCACCTTGTAGTCTTTATAACGGCCTTTGAAATACCGCCCACGTGACATGCATTCATCTGCAATAATTGTAACATTCACTTTTTCTGAAAACTTGTTCGCAAATGCTTCCCAGAATGTCATATTGAATGCTCTTCCTATCGAAGTGTCTTCTCCTCTGATAATTGCATCCATCATTTGCAAATAGGGAACATCCCAAGCCTCATCCCAATGCATCTACATCAGAACGATATTATTTTTCAAGTGATTACTATTAGTCCCTCAAAGATATAGTTTAGCAAAATGCATAGCTCAAATTGGTTGCCAAATAGATGGACTCATATTTTGAATTGTTGAAACATTTATGCTAGGATTGGATCAAAACCTACGCCTTCAGGGATATGACGGATTTAACCTATAGATTAGCAATCTATATGAAAACTTACCACCATTTCTTCTTTTAGAGGAGTACACTGGGAGGTAGCTTTCTTTCGTTTCTGCTTTTGTAGCTAGAAAAAGAAAAGAAAATTAGAAGTAAATGGTCTGAACATAATTACACAATTTTCCCTTGACAAGCAAAATTAGTTAAGTAAAATATATATAAGTAAAAGGTTAGATTTATAGCATGGAAACCTACAAAATCAGTCCAAAATAGCAGACACAATTTGAATTCAAACCCACAAAATCAGCATGGAAACCTACAAGCAATTAACAATTCCATGATTCAATGACACAATTTTCTATCATTTAGGTAAATTTGAATTCATTCAAAATATATATAAGTAAAAGGTTAGATTTGCAACATGGAAACCTACAAAATCAGTCCTAAATAGCAGATGTTTTAGCCTATAAACCAAAATATTTTGCTTTCAGCCTTCAAATATCACAAGAACACCTTACAAAAAAGCAGCAAAGACAGTGTCAAACTAGGCATGGACTCGGGCCAGGTCGGGCCCGTGCCGGGCCTAGGCCCGGTCGGGCCGCCGGTTTGTATCACATGGGCCCAGGACCGGCCCGAGGGTTGGACGGGTCCGGTTCGGGCCGGGCCACCCGCCCGGGTCACGGGTCGGGCCACCCGCCGGGCCGGGCCGGGCCAGTTAAAGTAAATTTTTTTTAATTTATATTTTATACTTTATAGTTTTATACAAGTATTAAAAACAAACTTCAAGTGCATTTATTTGAAATGAAATAGGAACTACATTTGAAAATTAAAACAAACTTCAAGAGACAAACATTTTGTAAATTGTAATCGATCGGAACTTCCCGCACCTCCCGATCCTTTGGCTTTGTCACATGACTTAATATGCTTCATTGCCGTCCCGTATCCTTCTGCTTACAACTTTCCACATGAATCACTATTTTTTGCAATGGTTATACTATTTTGACTTTCCATCAAAATATCCCAGCTAAGCTAAGTATGATGTCTATTTCGAAATTGATACCAATGGTATATTGACTGTGTCTGCAGAACTCGAAGGAGCAGATTGATCGGATGGTAAAGGAGGCTGAAGATTTTAAGGCTCAGGATGAGGAGCGTAAGAAGGCATCTGAGGCTAAAAATTCTTTGGAGAAGTACATTCGTTACATAAGCCGCACATTGAGAGATTGTGGAAATAGGTTTGGGATGAATGCCAGGATTTTGAGAGATGCAGTTGAGAAGACAAATGGGTGCTTAGAGTGGAATTACCTGCTCGGCGATGCTCGCAAGTTTGAGGAGAAAAAGAAAGAGCTGGAGATCTTATGTGACCCTGTTATCACAAAGATGCAACATGAGCAGGGAAGTAAACCATGTATCAAAATATCAGATATATGAGAAACAATTGCTATAGCTCTTTCGCCGTCTCTGAGATAGGACTCGACAACAGGGTGTCATCCATATATTATTGGCTCGACGAGCAATGGCAGCTCCGAGAGTTGAATGGTAACTCTGTTAGCACCCCATTGTCTCTATTCAAATACTATTCATCTAAGTTCTGAACACGGATCAAAGTATCAGACTACCCACTAACCCACCCACTGTACCTTCATTACATCGAGCATGAAGACGCCCTGATAATTTTGTATTATAATGTTCATTGTGGTGGTAGCTTGTAGCTATAATGGGGCGATTTCTTTTTTTTAGGGTTCTTTACATCGGGAGTGCCGTACACAGGTTGCCTAAATACGGGACTTTTTTTTAGGGTTTCTAAAAAACGGGAAACATGTTCCATGAATCCGAAATATGTAGGGTTTTAGATGGGAAGTTAAAAAACGGATTAGATGAATCCGAAATATGTAGGACTTTAGGTGGGAAGTTAAAAAACGGATTACATGAATCCGAAATTTGGTTTTAATTTTTTTGCAAACTGGTGGAAGATGCTGCGGAAGGTGTAGGGAAAGTAAAAAAATGACTTATTTAATTTTTTAATTTTTTTTAATAGACTTCTTAGGTTTTTTAGATTGGTTAGTTACATTTTTTTCAAAGAGGAAAACACAAATATTTCAATAAAAATTTGTGAGTGGGATAAATAATAGAGCATATGAAGCATAATATGTACAAAAATAAATAATTTAGTGATATTTATAGTTGGAAAGATGTGTATTATTTTATTAAATAAGAAATAATCAATTGTTATGTTAGAGATTGTAATAGTGAATATACATATTTAATTATATTGTATTACGAATTTATTCAATGTTCCCGCAAAATTAAATAATATAAATATTTCATTACTCATTTATCTTGAACAACAACATGACAAAGAAATACAAATTTTTATTCATTGAAAAAGAGTTACAAAATACGTATAAATTTTTACTCTTGTGCTCTCCTACTCGGACGCATATCCATTTCATTTGTAAATCGTGTTCTTTGAGGCCTACCGGTTTGACTGCGTCGAGCACTTTGAGGCGGTATCAGTACATATCCGGTATCAGGCATCGCACTTACATCATGCATAGGCATAATATCTGTAGCATACGTACGGATGTACGCACCTAATTTATACACGTCCGGGATGAGATGATCTACGGTTATTTCTAAGAAATGGCATGTTGCATAAGCGTGCACACATGGAAATCCATTTTGCTTCCAAAAACCGCAATCACATTCGCAACGTGAGAGATTTACCGTTACCGGCGGATAATCACGGATGGAAACAGAGTATATTCCCGTTGTTCGGTTATGCGGGACAATAGTGCACTGATGTCTTTTCTGTGAACGTTCAAGAATATCTTTCCATATATTTTGCGGATATAGGAACCCAGCTTGCCGCCACATCTGACCGGCCCTACGTCGATCAGCAAATAGTTGGACAACTTTGTTATAAGTTGCCTTAACCAGCGCGGTGAATGGAAGTGTTCGACATCCCTTTAGAACGTTATTGAAGCTCTCGGAAAGATTTGTTGTGAAGATGCCGTAACGTCGTCCATCGTCGAAGCACAGTGCCCAATTTTCACGTGGAATAGCGTTCAAATACGTGAACGCATTCTCATTCGTAGCACGAATTTGAGCCATTGTTTGGTAAAATTCACTCACCATGGGTGTACTCCCGGCCTGCCAACAGAGCTTTTTCAGTTCAGTGCTCCTGAATTTTGTCATGAAATTGCTTCTAATGTGTCGGAGGCAGAACCGCTTCGAAACTTGAGAGGTTTTCAATTGAGGTACTGATTGATAGGCACTTAGGATGCCAGGGTGTCGATCTGATATTATGCACACATGCCGATTTGGTCTGACAACATAAGTCATAATGTGTTCCAAAAACCAGGACCAACTATTTGTGTTTTCACTTTCCACAACTGCGTACGCGAGAGGGAAAATCTCACGGTTAGCATTCATGGCGACTGCAACCAAGAGATGACCCTTGAACTTTCCGTACAAGTGAGTACCGTCAACAGATATTACGGGCAGACAGTGTTCAAACCCATCAATGGAAGCTTTAAAAGCCCAAAACGCACGATGAAATTCATACGTACCATCATGACTGGTTGGTTTTGGTTGGAAATCTACCACTGACCCCAGATTTGATTCTCTTATCGTAAACAACAAATTGGGTAAATCATTGTAGGCCGCCTCCCAGTTCCCGAATCTTCGTTCATGGGCAATCAAACGTCCATATCACGCCTTTTTGTACTTGACATTGATTCTGAATTTGTCGTATATGTCTTGCATCACGAGTTTAATGCTGTAGTCCGGATCAACATGCACTTTTGTAGCGGTTACACTCGCTATGATCTTGCTCGTCATAAGCCTGTCATTACGGGCTCTTTTATAATCCACTAGGCAGTTGTGTAGTGGTTGATATTTTTTCCCCTTCCACAAATTGGTGTTGAGAAGGTTTCCCGCCTGAATGTGCCACATACACATGTCATCATAGATGCAAACTGCCTTCCACGATCTCATACGTTTGTCTTCTGTCTTAAAAATTCGAGATTGCCGAATATTTTCTATTGCTACGGCTTCTTTCAGTAAGTCGTATGAATCGTATATTTTGCCGACCGCAATAGTTTCATTATCACGATTCGCTGGTTCAACATATGGTTGTTCCAGCTCAATATCGGCCCATGTTGTGTCATGAGCGTCATCACTATCATCAGAATTTGTTGTTGCATCGTCATTTCCAGAAAATTGTTCATAATCTGGATCATCTTCCTCTTCATATGCTGTTGAAGGGCCATCTTCATGTTCAACAGTATGCGGGTTGTAGCGTCCGCCGTATCTCGTTGATGGTCCGTCATCGTTGGAGTGGATATTGTGAAAGGTTTCACAATTGTGGGTGTCACCTCCTCCATATGTTGATATTTGTGGTTGGACTATAGAGGTTCTTCGGGCATCCAGGAAAATATGTAATTCTCCATACTCTCTTTCAGCAAGTCGGGAAAAGTGCTTCCAAGTATCATCATCATGGATGGGACACAGTCTTGATGCCACATACACACGATTTTTGTACTTTGGTAATTTTCCGTGAATTGATACAATTTCTCCAAAACCTCTCTGCGCACACTCTTCGACAATCCGCTCGTTTATAGCGTTATTGCCATCGTCATTGCTGATTAACAGCGCTGCGCTCGGAGGAATGGAATACTCTACTTCATCATCTTTCATAATAATAGAACCATTCCAGTGGACACAAACTGGAGTGTTATGCTCAGTTGCCATTTTTTTTGTATATGGTAAGTAATATCGTAGGAAATATAGGGAGTTGATGATAGATAGCTAGGAACTCTAAGGTGATAAATAGATAGCAAGAATATGGTGACTGAGGATAGTGATGAGCCTTTTATAGTAAAAAAAAAAATTAGTACTTCGTAGGAAAGGTGTGTGTAATTTCTTTAATTTTTTTGTTATGCTCAGTTGCCATTTTTTGTATATGGTAAGTAATATCGTAGGAAATATAGGGAGTAGTAGTTATGAGTATTTGGGTGCAAGTGGTTGAGAGGAAGTGTTTGAATAACAAGTGGTTGAAAAAAAATTGAATGTTGTGTAGAATTATTGATTCCCGAAGTGACAGAGAATCTGTCAGAAAAATTAAAAGTTGATTGATTTAATTTAAAGTGAATGGAATCTGTACACTTTTGTACCCGGAATATTTTTTTTAGATCAAAATTATTGATAGTTGGGAGTGGGTTTAGGTGGGTGCAAGTGGTTGGGAGAAGTGGTTGAAATTATTTCAAATAATAAGTGGTTGAAAAAAAATTGAATGTTGTGTAGAATTATTGATTCCCGAAATGACATGGAATCTGTCAGAAAAATTAAAAGTTGATTGATTTAATTTAAAGTGAGTGGAATCTGTACACTTTTGTACCCGGAATATCTTTTTTAGATCAAAATTATTGATAGTTGGGAGTGGGTTTAGGTGGGTGCAAGTGGTTGGGAGAAGTGGTTGAAATTATTTCGAATAATAAGTGGTTGAAAAAAAATTGAATGTTATGTAGAATTATTGATTCCCGAAGTGACAGGGAATCTGTCAGAAAATTTAAAAGTTGATTGATTTAATTTAAAGTGAGTGGAATCTGTACACTTTTGTACCCGGAATATTTTTTTTAGATCAAAATTATTGATAGTTGGGAGTGAGTTTAGGTGGGTGCAAGTGGTTGGGAGAAGTGGTTGAAATTATTTCGAATAATAAGTGGTTGAAAAAAATTGAATGTTGTGTAGAATTATTGATTCCCGAAGTGACAGGGAATCTGTCAGAAAAATTAAAAGTTGATTGATTTATTTTAAAGTGAGTGGAATCTGTACACTTTTGTACCCGAAATATTTTTTTTAGATCAAAATTATTGATAGTTGGGAGTGGGTTTAGGTGGGTGCAAGTGGTTGGGAGAAGTGGTTGAAATTATTTCGAATAATAAATGGTTGAAAAAAAATTGAATGTTGTGTAGAATTATTGATTCCCGAAGTGACATGGAATCTGTCAGAAAAATTAAAAGTTGATTGATTTAATTTAAAGTGAATGGAATCTGTACACTTTTGTACCCGGAATATTTTTTTTAGATCAAAATTATTGATAGTTGGGAGTGGGTTTAGGTGGGTGCAAGTGGTTGGAAGAAGTGGTTGAAATTATTTCGAATAATAAGTGGTTGAAAAAAAATTGAATGTTATGTAGAATTATTGATTCCCGAAGTGACAGGGAATCTGTCAGAAAATTTAAAAGTTGATTGATTTAATTTAAAGTGAGTGGAATCTGTACACTTTTGTACCCGGAATATTTTTTTTAGATCAAAATTATTGATAGTTGGGAGTGGGTTTAGGTGGGTGCAAGTTGTTGGGAGAAGTGGTTGAAATTATTTCGAATAATAAGTGGTTGAAAAAAATTGAATGTTGTGTAGAATTATTGATTTCCGAAGTGACAGGGAATCTGTCAGAAAAACTAAAAGTTGATTGATTTAATTTAAAGTGAGTGGAATCTGTACACTTTTGTACCCGGAATATTTTTTTAGATCAAAATTTTTGATAATTGGGAGTGGGTTTAGGTGGGTGCAAGTGATTGGGAGAAGTGGTTGAAATTATTTCGAATAATAAGTGGTTGAAAAAAAATTGAATGTTGTGTAGAATTATTGATTCCCGAAGTGACAGGGAATCTGTCAAAAAAATTAAAAGTTGATTGATTTAATTTAAAGTGAGTGGAATCTGTTCACTTTTGTACCCGGAATATTTTTTTTAGATCAAAATTATTGATAGTTGGGAGTGGGTTTAGGTGGGTGCAAGTGGTTGGGAGAAGTGGTTGAAATTATTTCGAATAATAAGTGGTTGAAAAAAAATTGAATGTTGTGTAGAATTATTGATTCCCGAAGTGATAGGGAATCTGTCAGAAAATTTAAAAGTTGATTGATTTAATTTAAAGTGAGTGGAATCTGTACACTTTTGTACCCGGAATATTTTTTTTAGATCAAAATTATTGATAGTTGGGAGTGAGTTTAGGTGGGTTCAAGTTGTTGGAAGAAGTGGTTGAAATTATTTCGAATAATAAGTGGTTGAAAAAAATTGAATGTTGTGTAGAATTATTGATTTCCGAAGTGACAGGGAATCTGTCAGAAAAATTAAAAGTTGATTGATTTAATTTAAAGTGAGTGGAATATGTACACTTTTGTACCCGGAATATTTTTTTTAGATCAAAATTATTGATAGTTGGGAGTGGGTTTAGGTGGGTGCAAGTGATTGGGAGAAGTGGTTGAAATTATTTCGAATAATAAGTGGTTGAAAAAAAATTGAATGTTGTGTAAAATTATTGATTCCCGAAGTGACAGGGAATCTGTCAGAAAAATTAAAAGTTGATTGATTCAATAATTCAAAATTATCAATTGAATTATTGAATTATTGAAACGTAATAGTAAAAGTACCTGATAATAATAACATAATATCAAATTCGATTGATAATTTAAAAGTACAAATTCAATTCATAATTGATAAAACTAATTACATACAACTATTCTGATTCATCAGATACATAGTGTCGACCTGGCACCACGAAGTGACTCCCTGTCCCACAGCGTCGAGATTGTATATCTCGTCTCGGCCTATGTTCAATTGGCGGTTGTGTGCTTGGCCCTGCTTCTTGCCCCATCACACTCTGTACATCTGATCCTAATAAGTTGTTCAACCAATCAACTGGTGAATTTAAAAAGGTGGGACGTGTCTCATATGTAGGCTGTACATGTGGAATAAACGATGGCGCATCAGACGTCGGAATGTATGCACTAGTCGGTGTAGAGTATTGATTAGGTACATGAGATGAGGAAGGGATGTGTGAATGAATATGTGAAGATGGTTGTCCTTCTTCTTCACCACCATCTTCGTCATCCTCTTCCTCCTCCTCATCATCATCATTATCATCATCGTGATTATCATCATTACCATCATCATTGTCGACGTGTGGAGCAACATAACCGCGTCCGTAACGCCGACCTCTAGTGGCCGCGACTCTTCTACGGTCTTGCCGAAGTGGAGGATGATCATCCACTGCATCATCATGGGCATCCCCATAGAAAATGATGTCTTGATGAATCACATTCTCGGCACCTAATCCTGTAAGGCATCGTGCAATTTGCTCGCGAATGTCTTCGACGTCAAATGGAGCTGCTATGCGCCGATAGATATCGCCCATACATTGCATCTAAAATTCAAAAGTAAAGTTATTAAATAATAATAAATATTTCTAAGTTGAATAATTACACATAAAATACTTACTAGTGTACTTGTCTCCCTGTTAGTAGTTACATAACCCGTTGTAGGTCGACCATGTAACGGATTGCAAATCCGTCGTTTCCCGACATTTGCGTACCATTCACGGTACGCAGGAGTGTAGGTGGGATGATCAACGAACTCAAATGCGATACGACGATTGTGCCTCACCGCCCATAGTGTCAATGGCCATCCAGAATTTTTTGCACCACTTGCATGGTGGCTAGCTTGTGATTCCGCTGCGGGAGGAATATGTTGCATTGCACCGAATTGACGACAAAATCTACTGGGGTAGTACATCTCAGAAATGTCACAATATATAAGCATGACATTAGATGTCCACAAATCTACTCCCGCGACGCAGAACCTGGGGAGGGCTTGTAATGCGTATGGGAGCCACACGAACTGGATCAATATTATTTGAAGTTAATTCAAAAACATATTTATTTTCTATTAAACTAAAATGATATTGTTAATTATAACCTCGTTCTCTCGGATCCCGTCCAACTGATCTCGATAAATACGTAGAGTACCGAGAACTTTGTTCCCAATTGTGCCGACATGCCCACCTTCATAAAAATAAGTTATTATACCATGACCTACAAATATATTTAATATACTAATACTTATTATGTAAAATTTCAAATTATGCCTGCACCCATAGGGCATATCCTGTGGATTCTCATATGGCAAAACGTTTCGCGGCCGCACCATGGGCAATCTCTCCCACACCCAAATCTGAAATAGAAGCAAACATCCCCCAATATTTCTCCTGTTCGCTTTGGCGGCCTTGCACATGTTGTAATACAGGAACCCCAATACTGCTGAGCCCCAACTCCACCGTCGTGCTTCACCGAGCGGTCCCTGCAACAACTCTAAAAAGTACAATTTTATTTTGTTCCCGGTAGTGGAGGGGAACAATAACCCACCTAGTAGTTGCCAAATGAGCACCCTCGTGTATGTGATGAGTTCCTCATTTGTGTTGTGCTGATGTACCGGCCAACGCTGTAGGGCATTCATTCTTATTACAGATGTGTTTAAGTCGTTGTTGTTTGGCGTGAAACCGGCGAAGTCCGTGCACATTTGCATCCAAAGTGCTTTCGAGTTTATCCTAGGTCCGGATAGTGGTTCTCCGTTGATGGGCAATCCCAACAACACTTCTACGTCCTGTAAGGTGATGCCCACCTCACCAAAAGGCAAATGAAAAGCGTGTGTCTCTGGTCTCCGTCGCTCAACCAACGCCGTAATAAGCGACCAGTTTAACTGCAACCTTCCGATGCAGTCGACGCCGTAAAAGCCGGAGGCCTTCAGCAACGCTACCACTCCTGGGTGACGCGGGCCGTCTTTGTACACCATTGAACAATATACATTACACCTCAACTTGTCATCCATGGATGTAGCATCATTCCAGACAAGGTCCGCTCGATGCGCGTAACGTGGCATCACCAGCACAGACCGATCAACTGGATCCATAAGTGGTATTTGTGCAGCCATTCGTATCTCAACTGACAATAAGAATCATATATTAGTGTTATATATGTGTGTGTGTATGTATATTATAATGACGTGTTTTATTAAATGAAATTATAAATTACACATAAACTTTCAATGAAACTATATCAGTCTTATGTATTTACATTATAAGACATGTACGGTTGATAATGAGCTTATCCACTGAACAATATTACCACCGTGCCAGAAACTAGAAAAGGACTAGTTCTAGACGAGCTTGTGAAAATTGTACCAGTATAGTGCAATTATATTATATGTTCCCATACAAATTTTAGACTTGCCACTGAGTAATATTCTCACTGTGCCAGAAACTAGAAAAGGACTAGTTCTAGACATAACGTTTGCCAGAAACTAGAAAAGGACTAGTTCTAGACGAGCTTGTGAAAATCGTACCAGTATAGTGCAATTATATTATATGTACCGATACAAATTTTAGACTTGTCACTGAGTAATATTCTCACTGTGCCAGAAACTAGAAAAGGACTAGTTCTAGACATAACATTTGCCAGAAACTAGAAAAGGACTAGTTCTAGACGAGCTTGTGAAAATCGTACCAGTATAGTGCAATTATATTATATGTACCGATACAAATTTTAGACTTGTCATTGAGTAATATTTTCATTGTGCCAGAAACTAGAAAAGGACTAGTTCTAGACATAACATTTGCCAGAAACTAGAAAAGGACTAGTCTAGATGAGCTTGTGAAAATTTTACCGGTATAGTGTAATTATGATTTATGTTCGCTTTTATGGCTCAATTATAATACATGTTACGGAGTATGAACTAAATTATATTACGTAGTATAATGTTATTTGGAAATAAGTAGTGATGACTAAATTAAAATGTTCAACTAACTAAACTAAATTTAAATTGTAATCGCAACGTAGTCTCAAATTACCATATACACTAATTTAGTATTCCCTCTGTCCTAGAAAATTCTTCACACTTTAAGTGTGGTTGTAGTTGTGTAAGAAAAAGGTCAAATTAATGTGAACGACACAAATTGTCCAAAAATGGTAAGTGGGAAGAATTTTTTGGGACGGTCCAAAAAAAAAGTGGGAAGAATTTTATGGGACAGTGGGAGTATTTAATACATTAGTAACAAATATTAGTGAACCAATAATTAGAGTAATTGAAAAACAGTAAATGTGCTTACATTATCAACATAAATTAACTACTGTAAAGGAAACACTACAAATAATTATAAGTTGTGGGCTAATTATTTCTATTGTTATATATTTAGTATTACATATATCAACAATCTTAATAGCAATTAAGATTAATTACATATTAATATTAAGATTTTCGAAATATTCAGGCTGACATAACACAACCAGTACAAAAAATTAACGGTAAAGAGTAAATATATAATTAAAATTCTAACCTTTCTTTGAAAAACTCGGAGAATAGAATTAGCAAGAACACTCGATAGTTTTTTGTAACTAAATTTATTTTTATGGTTGTAGGCTGAATATGATGTTGAAGTGATTTAAATAGGTGAAGTTTGAGATTGGGAGTATGGATTTCCGTGCAAAACAATGGACAGTTGGGATGAGTTTGTTAAATCCTACGGTTGAAAAATGAGCTGAAGAAGCACGATCCGGGTAAACTTGGACTGGCCAATCCGGGAGCTTCATATTTCGGATTAGGGAAATCCGAATTTCTTTCCCACAGTACCACTACTGACACACGGCTTACACTCCTGACATCCGATTTCTTTTTTTTTTTTGGTTTTGAACATTTCGGATTCACAAAATTCGTTTTTCACCGAAAATAAAACACAAAGTCGGATTAGGAGAATCCGAAAAAAGGGATGCTGACAGCTCTACAAACCCTAAGAAAAGTCGGATTAGCCAACTCCGTTTCCCGTAAATTGGTACCCTAATTCTGACATTCGTATTTTGGGAATGGAGGCATCAAACTCCCGTAAATCCATCCTTTCCTCGCTATAATGACTCTAACATGTCTGAAATACTATTATATTTATACCATCATTTTGTTCTTTCGTATTTAACGAATCACACAATGCTCATATTTCTAAGTTCATCACTATACTCACTCCAATTACTCCGGAAAAACTGATAACCGCTTACGCGACGTTGTAGTAAAACGGAGTCTACATTTCGGTTTTTCCCCGAGTATCGTGTCTCTTGAGGAAGGGCGGAGGAGTTTCTTGATTTTAAGTCCAATCACAGATTATCGCAAATTATTGGAAGCTTTGCAAACTAAAACTTTTGATTGATTTTCTAAACTAGTTTTTGAAAAAGAAAGTAAATTAAATTATGCAAATACTAATGATGGCTCAAAATAAACTAAATGAAAAATAAAATATTAAACTCTAAATGGATTGATCAAGGAAGGACAATGAATTGAATAATTAGAAATAGATATATTCTTGAACCTAGTAATTAGGGGAATTAAAACTAAATTGGACTAATAATTTCTTTCTCATAGACAAGAATAGAAATTACTTTCATTAATTTATCCTATTTCTAGGTTTCATTAATGCATTCAAAAATGGTTGGCTTGAATTAAATTCTAATCTCATAGACAAGACAGAAATAATTCTCCAATATTTTAATTAATAAAAATAGCCAAATTCGTTAACTAATTAAACTCATTATTTAAGAAATTTGAATTTATTTCTCATAGACAAGATGTAAATCCCTTTCATTAAAATGTCCTATTTGTAGGCCTTATTAATGTGCTTGAATAAAGTTGGCTCAAATTATTTTCTAATCTCATAGACAAGTTAGAAATAATCTTCCAAAATTTAATTAATGAAAATGGCTAACAATTATTAATTACTAATTCATCAATTTGAATAACTAGCCCAATTAATTAATTTTAACCCCTAATTTTCGGCTAACAAGTCAATCCATATTCCTTTACTTAATTCATGCCCAAGAGTAAATTAACTATAACAACTCATTACTAATTTTAACATTTCAAAATAAGACATGATCATAAATAATAACAACAAAAAAAATATTAAAGTGAATACTCCCAACATCTAAACCTTCTTTTCTTTCACAAATAAACATTATTTATACTAGGAATTGATGTTAGCTAAGTACGAGATTAATATAACAACAAGAACTAATTTTTTTGAATTAAAATGGAAAACACGAAATTCTTAAAACTAATTCAGAGAATTCTATACAAATATTTGTGAAATAGAAACAATATATTCAGAATCTACACGACGAGAGGATGAAAATACATATAAAGAACTTACAAATTGGAGCTAAAATGAGAAAGATATGAAAGATTGAAGGTACAACAATGGTGGAAATCCGAGCTTCGAGAAGGAAGAAGAAGGCCCTTTTGAACTGATTTCGGGCTAAGAATGGTGTGATTGAGATGAAGAAAAATCGGGCTATTTATAGCAGCAAAAATACCGTAGGCGGCCAACCAGACGGCCGCCTGCCACCTTGCTCCGGCCGCCTTCCGTCCCATCACCGGCAGCCGAACGTGCGCCGGTCTCTTCATCCGCCGCAGGCGGTCCAGCAGGCGGCCGCCTGCCGTTCCTGTCTGGCCTCCTGCCGTCAAATCACACCGGCCGGTGGTTGGTTTGTCGCCTTGTGCCGCAGGCGGTCATCGGAGGCGGCCGCCTTCCGTCCAGTGTCGGCAGCCTTCGGTCCGGTCCGGTCAAAAATTCCAAAAATGCTGAATTTCCAAAAATAGCGTAGGCGGCCTAGTAGGCGGCCAATCTGGGCACCTATTTGGGCGCCTGTGAGATTATTTTTCTGTCTTGTTCTGTATTTTGTGCTCTTCAACTTTCCCTTCTGAACCACTTTGAATTTCTGCTTCCTTCTTTCGGTATGATATCATTTTTCACTCAAATTGACTCATTGTGTGCGTAATTGACCCGAAATTTCGTCAAAAATATCATGGACGTGATTTTTTACCTGATTTCACGAAACTTGAACCAAAATATATAAAACATGCCTTGTTTTTCTATTTTTCAATCCAAAATCACTTAAATTTGATAATTAAAATAAATACAAAAATGAACTTATCAAAAACCAACTTTGTCTATACACTAAAAGTGTCATTTTTAAGTCATATGTGAAGTATTTGTTATAATCTCAAATATAATGAATCTAATCCTCAAGCTAGAATAGAGTTTCATGTAATAGGATTATTCAAATAAATAATCCTAACTCATCATTGTACGTTCCAATCAATCGACGTTTTTAAACATCACTTTCTGTTAAGAGCCCGTTTGGTAGCACGAAAATCGGCTGATTAGGCTGATTCTGCTGAAACTTTTGAAGTTTTGGCTGAAGTCGCTGCATTGGCTGATTTTGCTGATTTAAGAAAAAAATATTTTTAAAATATATTTTATTATTAAAATAAAGAAAAAATTATATGTAAAATAGCTAAAATGGTCATCTACAGTAACTTCAGCCAATACAGCTAGAAATGTACCTCCAATCTTATTTTTTCTGCTTATTACACAATTCAGCGCGCGAAAACATATTCTTTTAGGACAATAGTCTCAGAAAAGAAAGATACAAAAAAAGAACAAAGAGAAAACAAATAGAATGATGTCAAAAACATTTGAACATACTCAAGTAAAAGCACATATGTACAATTACACACAACATCAATATCATTAAAAAAACACGAACAACAATAAAAATCAACCATAATATCCAAACTGATAAAAAAAATAAACAACCAAGTAAAAAAGCTAAATGGAAATACTTAAATTTATTTATACTCCATTAGTATCAGGCCATAAAAAATCACAATGTTTACACCTCTTTTTCAAAGCACATATCAATACTCTAAACATTATTTTACCTAGGTTAAATACCTAACCTAGCATCAGATTGAATGGTGATGCTTCAACATAAGACATAATTAATTAATTATTAATGATAACCCACTTTAGAAATAAAAATGTCAAATTTTGACCATTTAATTTTTACTTAAATACGAATAATTTCAAGCAAAAAATGTCTAATCGTAGTTCATGCTATGCAATGAAGCTGACTTGCAAAAGCAATCCAGGAGTAAGTGCTGAGCCCAGCACGGTCTTAACAGCTACCATGGCCTTGGCAGCGCATGGAGCAAAGCAATAATTCGAGTTCTTCAACAAATTTATTCAATGATTATTGGCAAATGTTTTTCGCAATCTAAATTCAATTTCTGTCTCATTCAGAACCAGGCACTAAATTCCTACACAAATTTACGAATTTCTTGAAGTGGGAGAAAGCACTTGATATATACTTAAAAATTAAAAGTTGAATGAGTTGGTGATTGAAGATTTTCAGAATTTGGAGCAATTATGTTGATAAATATTATGAAATGGGAACAAAAGTACTACAGAATTAAAAAACTAAGGAGAATTAGAGAGATTAAGATATATTCAGCTAAACTCTGCAGTTCATACAAATGAAAGAGAAGTCTTCTACAGTTCTACTCTAACACACACATAATTTCTTTCAAAAAAATCAATAAAATGAAGAACATACCTTGCAAGTATATTATACAAAGAAATCGTGGCGCCAGACAACAGCAGTTTTCAGGGAATTATCAAGCTTAATCACATTTTTGAAGTTGAAAAACAATGTAGCGCAGTCCATAAGGCTTGTGCTTCACTTGCTGCTTTCCGGGATATCATCCGCTAGGATTTAGGTATTTATAAGGTGATATATAGGGCATCACAATGCATATGAAAAGACTAATTTGCTCCTGTCCATAAAAATGAGGAAAACCGCATTGACGGGTAACGTGTACGGGGCGGGTAATGGGTTTATACATGCCCATCCCATTACTCGCCCCATTTATTTTTAGTTATTTTTTTATTACATTTTTATCTATTATATTTGTCCCACAACTACTAAAAGATAATATTTTTCTATTTTCATTGTGTATATATGGATAATAGATGCATTAACTATAGTGTATGATCATCCAAAAAAACTATATTGTACGAATGCAATTTCATACTACGTAATAGATTTTAATAGTCTTGTTTGATTATTATCAGACCTTTTTTGTGATTAATTATATCTAAGACTAAAAGACTTTCTTGTCTTGTAGATATAAACTTCAAAGTGGTGTATAAGTCTAGAGTCATCTAGGCGATACCATTTTTCGCCTTTTAAAATACCATTTTTTATATTAAAATATCACTGACTCATTTAATAAAACGATTACCCGCGGTTACCCGCGGTTATACCCGTTACCTCTTGGGACGGTTATGGTTTGAGAAAAAATTACCTGTTGGGTAATTGAGCGTTTACGGGACGGATAAATTACCCAACAGGGTAGGTAATACTCAAATTGAGAAATTTATCCCTCGTATCACTAAAACTTAGTGTCATGACCAATCTATGACTACTTGCTAATTTTTCCTAATGTATGAGTAGTTTGTAACCATAGGACTAATAACTGCATGCGCATAACCGCCGGAATCATAGCTGCGTAGTCATACGGAAGATAAAAAAACACATGGAGTCATATTTTGGGAAAACTCATGTGTTTTAGTATTATTTAGGGTTTTTTCCCTACTCAAATTAGCTATATTGGTTGATTTTGGTGAAATTTATAAAGTTCTTATTGAAATGATTGAATTATTTGATTCTCTAATTTGTGAAAAAAATAAAATACATTTTATTAAAAAATATATATGAAAATCAATTAAAATGATCGTCAATGGTAAACTCAGTTCATACAGCCAGAAAAATAACTTCACCCTTTTCTTATTATGACACAACTAGGCAAAGTACCCGTGCGATGCACGGGGTGTATCTAGAGTAGAATAACAATTTATTTAAAATTAAATTTTATTACGATGGAAGATAATAATGTGTTTTTGTCAAATAAAAAAGACATTATAATTTATATGTTGTAGCTTTGAGTATTATAGTAACCGTAAGAAAATAAATTTTTTTCACGTATGAAAAATTGCCGAGTAAAAATTAAAATAAACGATAAGGTGTAATAATAAACTCTATGAAAATAGTAGGGAAAACTTAAATGTAGTTGGGACCTTTTACATAAAAATGGTTTCCTTTTACAGAAACAGGAACTTTTTTGCAACATCCTATAAAAGAAAATAGGAACTTCTTTTCAGAACGGTGGGAGTAGATTTTATCAATTGAAATTTAATTTCATGACTAATTAGAATGCAATTTATTTCTTTTTTTTTTCAAAGGAGGAAGTTTTACTGAGAAAAAGACCAAATTACAGAGAGGTGTAGGAGGACATAAACCAAAACTTACGGCTGGAAAAAGTCAAACAACATTTGGAAAACTTATAGCATCAAATTTGAGAATCCGCAAGAAGTGGGAAAATTTTACATGAATGTTTTTCTGTATATAATTATTAAATTATACAATATATAAAGGGATATATACATTTTACGTATGAATATATATGGAGTGTGTATACATCTTTTACTTTGAATAAACTTCAGGATATGTGGTCTCTACTTGATTCTGTGGATCTCACAAAATCAACATGGGCGGTTAAAGTCAGGGTCATAAGGGCTTATGAAGTTCCTGTCCATGCTAAAGGGGGCGAGACACTTGAATTGGTCTTGCATGATGCAGTGGTAAACCGTGTGTTTTAAATGCTGGAGTATAAATATGCCAAACCTCAACAATGAGGTACCCAGAGCAACTCAAGACGGGCATGACATGGAAAGTGAGAGCAATATGGGTCTTACAAGTTTGATCGATTCAAGAAGAGAAGACGCTTCAAAAATGAGAGACTATATAGGTTTAACAAGTTTTTAGATTTCTACATTATAATTCTTATTATTAATATTATTAATGATGCCATGTATGAATATATAATGCTAATATTATAATGCTATTATTATATAGGTTTAACAAGTTTTTAGATTTCTCATTCTAATTTCTATTTCTTGATATATTGGTATTATAATGCTATATATGTCAATACATACGTAGTATATGTTAATACATATAGAGTAATAACTAAATCAGTAGTACTTTCTCTATTTCAATTTTAGACAGGATATTCCCTTCGTTTCACTAAAATTGTGCTATCTTTCATTTTCGATCTGTCCTATTGAGATTTTCTCATATCAAGTTTGATAAAATTTGTGTGGTAGTAAACCATTCTTACTTTATGTTTACTTTATTAGATCAATTCTATATCAACAACATAAACTCACTTTTGTCGATAACCGAGTATCACCTTCTAATGACTCAATGTTAGTGGGACGGATGTAATAATTTTACTTTCTTTTTATTTTTACATGCATTAGGCGAAAAAATTAGAGCAAAAAATTGTGATAACTTTATTACTTTATACGAAGTAACAAAGTAATCACCAAATAATCACTACTCCGTTATGACACATGAGAATAGCACCACATTATATAACAAAATAGTACACCAAATAATCCATACTCCGTTATTAACTTGGTGACTAAATAATACGCAGTACTCCTTAATATCACTGGAAGCTAGGGATCGGAGTATCTTCACCAAATAATCACTCTGTAATATCACTTGTGATATATAGAGTGCAATTAATGCATTTGTTTCCAATTCTAAAATTGTTATTATAATCAATACATTTGTTTCCATATTTAAAATATTGGATCGCAGGTTTTTATATGGCACAATGATTTCCAATTATGCCCTTAAATGGGCGGGAGTTTTCCCTCCAATTGTGGTAGCAACTCTGCTACTTTATATTATATAAAGATTCGGCGGTGAAATCAAAAGTTACGTGTTTGGTTAAAAAATTGACTGATGAGCCGAAAAATAGGATCACCAAACGAGATCTTAGGTGTTGTTCTGTTCGTCTTATTCTTATTATTTATTGTCTGTTCTTATTTTATTAAGATCATATTATGTCAGATCAGAAAGATCAAAAAAAGTTCAGACGTGATTTTTTATTATTGTTGTTGTTGTTGTTACTATTATTATTATTATTATTATTGTTATTATTATTATTATTATTATTATTATTATTATTCACACACACATGATTGCAATATCTAATCATCTGCATATGGGGTTAGCACTCTTTCTTTCTTTCCTCTCTTTCTACACCATCATATAGTGTATGCTAATGAGTAAAACCCAGGGGCGGATCCAGGAACGGGATGTGGGGTGGGCTAAGCAGTAAAAAAAGTTGTTACTGCACACAAAATGTTTAATTTAGGATTGTTATCGAACTAAATGTTTTTTTAACTACTCGAGTTTGAACGTGATTTCAAAATTAATTTAATGACTCAAGCTTAACAAGCTTTGAAGTCGAAAACGGCTAGATTTTCAGTTCGAATAGTTATTCAAGTCGAGTTTGAGCTTAGTGATGTTCGGTTCAATCCGGCCGACTCGACCTATCGTTAACTTATAAATCATAGGAATAAATTAAACCGTATATAACTTAAAATTTAAACATTTTTACTGCGATTTTATAAATTTATTAATGATTATTAAAGATTCTAGTGTTTCAAATTTCAATTGAAATTTTTAACTATTTCTTACATGTCCACACAATAAATAAATTATTCTCTAATCTTCAATTGTATAATAAATAAATCATTCACTAATCTTTAATTTTATCTTTAATCATTTTTTGGCAAACAACAATTTATTATTAATCATTATAAATTTATAATGAATAAACACTATTTTATTATATACTGAAAAATTCAATTAAGAATCAAATAGATTTACAAAACTAAAAAAAATACTTAATAACACAGTCACAAAATAATACAATGTTTCACATATAAAACACAATGACACAATCACTCCAGGTTCTCGGTTCATCAAATATTCAAATAGATTAACAATGTTTCACAAAATAATACAATGCTTAACAAATAATGCAATGTTTAACAAATAATACAAGTTTAATCAAGAAAAATAGTGTAAAAGAGTATTTGAATTTAGAGTATACATGGAGATAGAGGCAAAGCGAGTCGGACTCGGAGAGCCGGAGAGGGAAGACGGCCGACACAGGGCCCTGGACGCATGGACGGCGGGCGGCGGCTCAGCAGTTGACCAAAGATAGGATGGTGTTCGTCTTTGGTGTCTCCGTCGCAGCTCCGCTACTCCCTCTTTCACCTTCATGCTTCGCAGCTCCGTCGCAGCTCCGAACTTCTGGTCGCAGGTTAGCTTGAAGTAGTTAGTGGAATAGTTGCTAATAGGATTGGATTGGACTGAGAATTAATTTTGGAGTGGGCTAGGCGTTAATTTTGGGATGGGTTGGACATTACATTTATGCATATACTAATTAAAAAAATAAAAATTGGGTTGGGCTGGAGCCCACCCCTGCCCACACAAGGATCCGCCCCGGTAAAACCCCTTTTTTGAATTGATGATCCATAACATTTAGTTGAGTGACCCTGTAGATTTATATAATATTGATGGTAGACTAGATTATTACTTCGAGCCCACAAGTCATACGTTCTCTCAAACAAAACATTATGACTATCTACCCACGTTATATAAATGTCTATCGAATATGACATAACATATCCTTTGATTTATTGTCTTAATTAATTCTCTTTTGTCATTGATAGCAGAAATTGACACATCACACAATGTTAGGTCCATGGCACCCTTGTTAGTGTGGGTCTACTCAATGAGTTTGTTAATATGTGATTAACTTGATATCTCTATATATCAA